AAAGAAGTATAATAACAAAACAATGGAGATTTTGCTCAAAGACTTAAAACAAAGATTAATAACACACTGATACCTCTCTCCGTCTTGAAGCCCAACAGGTTTGTTTGATCTTCCACACCACAGCAGCCACCAGTAACAAGGATAAAAAACAACTGGAAAATAAAGCAAAAATGATTTTTGCTCAAAATATATTTGACATATATACTTAATTTAAAAAATACATGGAAGATTAAAACATATAGAATAATCATTTTATCTTTGTAAATAATTCAAAAAAGTATCTTTATACTACTCCTTACTTAGTTCCTTGACATCTTGTTTCTGACTTGTAATATTAATAAAAATGTCAATACTAATAATGCTTACTGTTTATATGATATTCAACATTTTAGAGGGTGCTTTCCTAAGAATATTTTTCAACTGAAGGTCATCTAGAAATTAAATGTACTAGTATTTTCTCTATTTATAGAATCACTTCAAAATTGACCATACCAACAATTCATTCTTTGCAACTTTCTTCTGAATACTTATTTTTTTCCTTCATCCTTTCTTAACCAATATAGGACCAATGAAGGTAGGTTACACACCAAATTCCTTCTTTTTAAATTACAGACATCCCTTAAAACTAACATCACAGAACGATGTTCCTTTCATGCCTCAGAAATCTTTATTATTTTCATGGTTTCAAGTATGGCCTAACTGGAATGATAGAAATGCCAAAGTTATAGAAGCTTACTATTAAAAAGATCTAAGAATTTGTTTAGTTCAAATTCCCTCCAGGGAGAAAATTCCCAGTACATCTCTTGACAGTGTCTGAGCACCTATAATATCCAGCATAACTGAGAAGCTACAGACTTGTAAGTCAGGCTTTCCATTTTTAGTGAATTCAAACCATAAACATCCTAATTTCTATCATTTGGTGACATTCCTGTTTTCTGGGTAAATGTGAATCCATCTGCAATTTGATAAAATGTCTGTATCTATCTGAAGAAGCCCACAGGATGCCCTGGT